TTGTGGCTGGCTGACTTGGGGACTGGGGTTTCCGTCTTGGAAAATTCTTGCTATAGGTTTTAGCTAAAAAATATATCTGGACTGAAATGGCATTGTCTCTTGGAGTTCCTTGGGCTAGGCCTGACAGGTGGGTCTTCAATTGCATGGTAGCAGCCACTACCTTGATGTTTCTGACCCTATCCTGTGGATATATCCCTGGTGGCCACATAGCATTGTTAGGGAGAAGACATCAAAGATGATGTGCTGTAAGGAAGAAAATGACAAGGAAGGAATATCGGCTTTTTGAAGAAGTTGATGATGAGGTGTTGATATTGATATTGCTGCTGCCATCAGTCTGGGCAATAGACCAGACTGGCCAGGGGAAGGGAATCCTAGGGCCCTCACAGATCTCTGGAGCCACAGGGGTATTTGGGGCACCTATCTCTTCATGTTGGGGACTGTACAGAGTGGGCAGGAGCCAGACATGATTGGACTGAATAGGTTTCTTTTTCATACCCAGTCATGCACTTTGATCAAGCTGGTTGGTGTTTTCACCCCCATAAAATATCTCAGCAATGGCAGCTCTTGGGTGACCTTGCTGGATTTAGGAGCTAAGCAGGGTCAAGCCTTGAATGGGACACCACCAGAGAATCCCAGGACTGTCGGCTTGACTGGGAAGTAGGGGGGAAAAAAAAAAAAGCAGTGGCCGGACACTTCCATATTGCTGCCAAGAAGCCTCCCTGGGCAGAGCCATGAAATCCTCTAGAGCTGAGCTTGACTCAAAGGAGATTTTACATTTTTATCATCAAGGCAACTGAGATATAATATGGTTGGGCTCTTAACTGTGCTCCCTGGTTTGATAAGGCAGCACAAAGTCAGCCATCCTGAGAAACTCTGAAGAGTGACATATCAATTTTAGAAAGAAACAAAATAAAGCCATCAAGCTTTCTCCAAGAAGATGAAAGGAGATTCCCAGGAAGTGCCAGACAAGGAAAAGAGTGCAAGGAAAAGAATCTCCTGGAGGCAAGCATGTCACCTGAACTGTGAGATTCAAGGGAGCTGTGACTTAGAAGCCCCCTCCCTCACAACATGTCATGGTGTGTATGTGTGCAAGGCTTGGCTAGACCTAGTTCCAGCTTAACTTAAATAGCTGGGAGAAGGGGCTTATCTTCCTAACTCAAAGCATCTCCACAGCCTCAACCCTTACTGGCTGCGTTCCTAAGAGCTGATGCATTTGGTGAGCACAAACAATGGGAATCCATACATTCAAAAGTGTGAAAATATTCCTCCAGATGATATGCAAAAATTCAAAACGGCTATGTGGAAGTTACAGCCATCTTCCCCCATAGTGACAATCATCTGCCTATTTGGCAAGAAGGCCATATCTGTAGAAATAAATGACAAGTTTTATGCTTCTCCATGGCTAGATGATTCATGCCAGATTTCTTCCTTCTTTTACAGTTACTACAGATGGCAAAGAAAAGGGCAAGTATTCTCTTCTTTACATGAAACGTGTGATGAAAATTGTTAACTGCTGCTGCAGTAGAGAAACTGAGCTATTGGTGAACCATTTGAGGTGGTAATGAAGGCAGGAGTGAGCTGATTGGCTAGGAGCTCCCAGTATGAAGGAATTCCTAGCCAATCAGCACCCCTACTCCTCCCCTACCAAATGGTTCTCAGTAGCTCAATTCTGCTACAACAGTTCCTACAGTGAGTAGAAGCTGCTTCTATCAATAGGAATGGCTAGCCCATCAACAGTTATATACTTCAGCGATAATAGGGATGCTCCCCAGATCCATTGTTTATAGTTAAAACAAGCTTTTACTTCCCCTTCACTGACACCCAGTGGCAGCAACCACTTCCTTTCTACTGAAAATCATTTCCTTTGTCACAGATGGCCAAAATAGGGATATTTTGGGTGACCATTCCATCACCCTTTGCCATTGGTTCTGCAGGCTGGAGTTTATGGGAACTGTATTCAAAATACCTTGAAGACAGCAGCTCGCCTACCACTGCAGTCAAACATTAGCAGTTATAAACATGAATTCATCCATGTGTCTGTTTGGTTGGTCTTGGCTCTCTTAATTTTAAAGATTCTGCAGGAAAATTCACATTTAAAGAAGGGTTTGAAGACGTACTTCCCCTCTAACCATATACAGCCAAAAGCATTTGGATCTTTGATACTGCTAAGAGCTACATTGAAAAGAGAAAACTTTAATCCAAGAAGTATGGGCTGGATTAGTTTGTATCAGGATTTGCAGTGATAGGATTTTGGAAGCATTTCTACCTGCATGTAGGTAACATGTTTTGCTCGCTCTCTCTTTTAATCATATTTATTGAAAATTTTCATATAATAATAACAAACCAAAATAAAAATGTAAAAAAAACAGAAAAGAAAAAGAAAACCAAAGTTAAGAAACATATAGATGACTTCTATATAGATAATTACATATAGATAATTACATTCTTTTTGTCCCTGCTCCTTCTTAAGTATTTTACAAGTCCCTTCAACCCTTCATTTGGTCCTCATCTTTCTTACTTTTCAAATCCATAAATCATCAATTCATTTTTTCTTCTTTCAGCAAAAAGTCCATATAAAGCTTCAAAAAGGTTTTTGTTGTTTGTTCTCTGACCAAACAGGTCAGTTTTGCCATTTCTGCAAATTCTGACGTCTTCACAATCCATTCCTCAGCTGTGGAAATTTCATTATTCTTCCCTCGTTGTGCACACAATATTCTTCTGCAGTTACTATGTACAGTATAAATTTACCATGAGTCTTTTCTAATTCATTATCCATAAGTCCCAAGTTTGGGAGTCTTTCTAGATCAGTGATTCTTAAACTGTTTGACCCAATTACCCCATTTCTCGGTCTCAAATAATATCATTACACTCCCCTCCAAAAAAACCAGAAAAACAAAACAGACTGTTGTTTTACACAAGTGTTTCAACAGCAGCAGTCCCAAATCGGAACCTTGACTCACAAATAAGCAATTGCAAATTGCTTGATTACCCTTAGGATATGTCCAAATTACCCACAGTTTAAGAACCACGCTCTAGCTAGACTTTGCTGTGACATAAGATGAAGAAATTCACCAGGTTGCATAGTAAGCTCTACTTGGGTTTAAATGGGTTCTCAGATGTTGCCATATTGTTGTAAGACTACCTGGAGCCCTCCATGATGATCAGAACACGGAGAAATCAGGTTGGATCCTTCTTGCTTTATTCTTGTTGAAGCTGGTGTGATTTTGTGGTTCGAGTATAAGAACAGAACTAGGAAGAGCCAGATGTCAATCCACACACAGGCATAAAACCCATGAGGATTGCTGTCAGTTGTCTCTTTTGTTATTGTTGTTCAGCCTAAAATATCTTGCCAAACAGTTGTGAAGATAAAGCAGAAGTAGAGTCCTTGAGGAAAAGGCAGAAGTCCTTGGTAGAATTAGGCCTTGCACGCATGACACATTGAACTATAAATTAATTATCCACATTATAGGTTGATCTGTTGAGTAACTTCATCTCTGTGTTAGTTTATAGTTCACTGTGTTGTGTGAACCTAGATACTTGAGTAACAGCGGCTTAGTTATCCATGCACAATTATGTTCATATAACATGATTGTCCATGGATTACTAAACCACTGTTACTCAAGTCATTTGCTCAATACATTTGCCAAAAGCTTACTGTGCTGTATGTGTGATGGATGTTATTCAATCTTTGCAACTTTGCACTCTCAGTATCTTCATCTCTTAGGATGAGATGCTGATCAGAATATAAATGTTATGAGACTGTTCTTGGCTTTAAAAACAAAACACGCACACTCATATATGATGTGTTTTAATATAAAACTACATTTAGAAATGTATTTTCTGAAATTAAAATATGTTTACATTTTAAATAAAACATGCTCAGAGATAGATGTTACATGAATATGATACAGCTCAGAAATAGTTTGAGCTATGCATCCCCGATATGTATGTATTCAAAGTTGTTTTTAAAATTCTTCAGCAGCTTATTATCTGCTATCTTTGAATCATCCTGGATGGATGAAATCTTGCTCATTCCAAGTAGCTTTGCTACTTGACTGATTCAAATGGTCTTAAGCTAAAATAATTGTCTTTCCAACAGAGGGATTCTCAACCACAGGCAATACTATTACAAATGAAGACTTACAAGAAGTATCAGAGAAGATTTACCACAGTGACCACAACAGAGCAGAAGAGTCTGACATTACCCTGAACAAACAATACTTAGCTTCCAAGACAAATGGGCATGAAGATCATTCCCCAGATCAGTGAGTTTAATCTGCTGGAATGCAAACTACAAAGTAAACATAGGCAATTAGAATGGTGGATCCTTAACTAGAGATAACCTAAATCCCAGAGATGGGAAAGTAGGAAAATAACTATTGAGCATTCTTGTTTCTAAATTTGGAAATATTTATTGATAGCTATATCAATAAATGGATAGCTATGCTTATTAGACATTTACCTTCTTTCAACCATAGTAATAGATTCCAGGAGTATAGGGATTACAGATGGCAAAAGTTTGCTTTTTCATGTACAGAATGTCAGGTTCAAACCCAGGGGACTCTGCTGTACTAGAAAATCCACATCAGACAAGGCTGAGGTGGTTAGGATTGTCTCTGTCTGCTGTATAAGACAAACTATTGACTAATTAAGATCCATAAGGAGAGGATCCTGAAAAGGAAGGACATAGATCTATGGATGCTTGGCAGAAACAGGGATGGAGGTAGAATGGCCTTCATGGCCACAGGTCTGTGATAGGAAAGCCATCTCTGCTATGTTTACTGCAGCTGGAAAGCTACCAGTCCCGCACAGGCACAGCCACGAGGATCTATGCTACTGATTATGAATGAAATCACTCTTCCAACCTGTTATGGAGTGTGGGATGAATCCTGAGCCTGTGGGAAAGTATAGGCCAGCCTCATCCCAAATGATTTTTCATTGGGCAGGCTCTTCACTTATGTCAACCACGAGAAGCTCTTCTCAAGGCCGACTTATGCCAGCTTCATCAAGCTGTTGGATAACTACCATGCAGAAGTCGGGACAGGGGAGGAATTCACCAAAGAACAGATGAAGGAACAGGACATTTTCCTCCAGGAGATCATGAAGACCAAGGTCATGAAAGAGCTATATAAGTTTCTTCACAGCAAAAGTAAGTCTTTGGTAATTGAGAGATAATCAACATTATTTTATGCGGAATCACAGAACCATAGAGGTAGTCAGCCTCAATCTTCTGTTCAGTGCAGAAATCCAAATACAATTATCCCAGATAGACTTTGTAGAATATGCAGTTGCATGAAAAAACATTAGGCAACCCTAGTCAAATTTCATTTCAGTGAATCCCTAAGTGAACAGAAGCTGACACAGCCTGAACATTGTACAAAGCTAAACATATCTTTCTAGAAATTTGCTTACTATTCTTTGGAATTCACTAAAACCTACAATTTGATCAGGGTTGCCTCAAATTTTGCATACAGCTATGTTTAGCAGAGGAAGCCCTTGACTCCTCCAAAAAACTGATTTCATTGTCAGATTCCTTCCTTTGCAATGTAACATTGTACCACGTGGAAGCTGTGTCTGTTTTGGCTGAGTGTGTGTGCGAATAGACTAAACTTTCATCTTCTCAGAAGTTCCTGGAAATAGTTTTGTGCCTGAGGAAAGTAATCTATGAGAAAATTCACAGCACTCTCATAAAACTAAGATTCCTAATGCAGGCAAAATAGACATTTTCAGTATTACTGTGAAAGTTGTTGACAACAGTTTCAAAGAGCAGATTTTTCTCCCAGCCCCATCTCTGTTAAACATAACTATTTTGGATTTGTTTCATAATATCTCTGCTCCACAGAGCATTGTTTGAATGATGTAGGAACTCTTTGTGATGTCTTCTTGTAATGTGAAATTAATGACTGTTTGACATCCATCTCTGTCTCCATTCTAGATCGTTATGATACAGAACCAGAATTTGTGGATGATCTTAAGAAGATGTGGTTTGGCCTTTATTCCAGAGGCAATGATGATGGTGACTCCAGTGGCTTTGAGCATGTCTTTTTAGGTATATTTATTTAAAAACAAGCTGACCCTCTTTCTGCATTTATTTACAGGTAGTCCTCAGGTTATGACCATTCATTCAGCAACTGTTCATGATGGCGCTGAACAAGGGGGACTTATGACAGGTCCTCGGAGTTCTGGCCATTGCAGCATCTCCGTGGTCATGTGATTGCACTCTCAGTGTTTCCTACCAGCTTCCCACAAGCAAAGTCAATAGGGAAGCCAACAGGAAGTTGGAAGTTGTGATCATGTGAGGTCCTCACTTAACGATTTGCATGGTCCTCCTTTAACAATGGAAACTGGGACTACCAGAATTGCTGTCACTAAGCGACACATTCACATGACGTCACATTTTACAACCACGTCGCTTAGCGACGGAATTCCTGGTCCCAATTGCTGTCATAACCCAAGGACTACCTGTACAACCACAATTTGTCCGTCTGAAATTGCTTTAGCACATTTTTTTCCTTAAAAGATGGAAAATATTTTGATAGGTTATGACTCTAAACAATCAGGAAGCACCAGGGAACAAGACATCACAGCCCTGTGCCACCAACCCGTATTGTCAATTAACCCTTTGAGTTCTGTTGGGATGAGGGGAGGGGAAAGGGATTATATCTTGCCTGATCCTCAAACAACTAAGCAAATACTTCCTGCCTTGCCATTTTACCTGCAACATTGTCTTATTGAGGGTGAGGGGGAAGAGAAATAAAAACAGCTGGGGGAGATTTTTAACAGAAAACTGTATGAAGAATTATTTGTTCTTAAGATTGATCCTAAATGTACAGTGGTACCTCGGGATACGAACTTAATCCGTTCCGTGACTCTGGGCGTATCCCGAGTTGGTCGCAACCCGAGGCAATTTCCACACCACAAGCCTCACCGAACGTCTCCTTGCTACCGCAACCTCGCCCACAGGAAGCCGCGACCGTGTGGCAGCAGGGAAAATGGCCGCGTATCCGGCTCGTAACCCGAGGTAAAATTTTCCTGCCGAAGCTGGTCGTAATCCGAAATGTTCATTAGTAGAGGCGTTCGTATCCCAAGGTACCACTGTATAAGCAAGAAGCTGATTTGGATGAACTTCTAAAGATATTCCCTATTTTGGGCCTTCCAACACTCCTTGAAATGCAGTTGCAGTGCAATCCATCTGCATATGAACTCGATGTCGTTGAGCCTTACCAGAGGGGAAGAATGGTCTAGGTAGTTCAACTTGCACAATAAGTTTTCTACATTTATTGGGTTCCATCTTGCTGAATTTCCAACCACGATATCCTTTGGTGATTCTGTTTCATTTCACCTTTCCACTAAGCTTTACTTACGTCTTCCTTTTTGCCACTACCATCCTTCCTATTTATCCCTCTATCAAAAGATAACAAACATTGTAAACTTGTCCTCCATTTCAGAAAGAACTTCGAAGAGTGACAAACTTGAACAGTTTTTTTAGGCTTTTCTTATTGATATACAGGTGGAGGAAAGCTCTTTGGTAGTTGCATAAAGCTTCTTTGCACATATCGCATGATGCATGTTGCACATATCGCATAATGTATGTTGTGAATATGTATTAACCTGTTATGGATCATATGGTTATGGTTCTTTCTAGGAGAACTCAGGAAAGGAAAAGTAACTGGATTCCACAACTGGATTCGTTTCTACCTTCTGGAGAAACAGGGCATAGTTAACTATTCCAGCTACAGCTATGATGGTCCGGTAAGTTTCACTGGGGAAAATGAACCATCTTCCACTCTGGGGGAAAGATTAACCCATCTTGGAAAAGAGAAGACATTCCAATTCAGTGTGGCTGTTAATTCACGGCCACTTTTCCGGGATGCCATAGCAGATTCCCTGAAGAAATAGGCATGCTCTGTATCTACCTGGGACTCTCTGTGCAATGCTGAGCTATAAGTTCCAACATCCGTCACTATTGGCTATTCTGGGGCAGCTGGGAGTTGTAATTCAGCAGCATCTGGAGGGCCACAGCTTCTACTCCCCCAATAGACCCTTCGCAGTGATGCCAATTTTTCCTTTTTTAAGGGATAAACAGCCATGCAAATGTTATGCAGGCATGCCATTCCTCTGGACAACAGAGGTAGAGGAAAAATAATAATAACAGGAGAAATGGCACTAGTTATATTATCGTCATGACAGGCTGCTGTTAAATGTAATGGAGCATATGGGTACAAAAAGACACACACATACAAACACACACCTGTATATATAGAGAGATCAATAGCAGGCCAGATCATTAAAAAAGCATCTTGCAGGTTTTCTTCCTGTTTTTCGTATTTGAAGAAGACAGACGTAGGATCACCTGGATTTGTTTTCAATGAAAAAACAGTATCATAAATATGACAACACTACTATAACAAAAGTCCTTTAAAAAGCCCCATTGCAGTAAAAGCATGAAAGATTCTTGCAGCACCTTAAAGGTTAGCTCCTATTTTAGGGGACGAGGTTTCTCAGACTGCAGCCCAACATTGCAGATATACAGGTGTATATCCCAGCGTGGTTAGCAGGGAGATGTGTTTCTGGGCAAGAGAAATGCATGGCACAAAAGACAGACTGCAGAAATTATGTTATTAGCAATGGTGGTTCAAAAAAGAGAGAGAGAAGGAGGAGAAGGAAAATACTTATATGTAATTAATTATCCAGTTGTGAGGGATGATGCATTCTGGGTGGTTAAGTCCAGAAATACATACAACATAATGAAAATATTCTTCGGCTGGATTCAAGCCTATGAAGAACACAATGAGCTAAGTCCACCTTGGCAGCTTCTTGATAGCTTCCCTCAGTTTCATACGTCAGAATGGGCTCTTTAAGACAACACTGGAGCCTTCATTCCTGGTACTCAGGGGCTCTCTGTATGAATCGCTAAAACATCCTCTTGCTCTAGGACAGAGTTTCTCAACCTTGGCATCTTTAAGATGGGTGGACTTCGACTCCCAGAATTCCCCAGCCAGCATGGCTGGCTGGGGGATTCTGGGAGTCG